CCATGGACAACCTGATTGACGAGGAAAAGGCGACGGATCAGCCGAGCAGAGAGGTGGCTGGGTCCTACTGCGAGGCATGTCAACGGCGAGCAGGCTTCTGGGATCAGCAGAGAACGTAGTCGTCGTCGCTGAAGGAGAAGAAATCTGAGGATCCTGTGGCGAAGCGCCTGCTTATATAGCCAGATGGCCCTGCCCATTCTGGCGGGCTTCGTCGCCATAGGCTCATGCAGCCACGCTGCCGAGCCATTGGTTCGTTTTTAATACACTGCACGAACCAATGCCCATGCAGTTACACGGCGTGATTGAAAAAAGGCTTCAGTTCAGGAGAAAAAAGGCTTTTTCCCATAGCGTCTTTTAGCAAGACGCCGTACGAGTGAAGTATAGATAGGGAACTGTTGTGCTGCTTCATATTTTGTGGAAACCATGAGATACATTTTTTCAGGATTCTTTGATGAAAGTTCAAAACAACAGCATTTATTTGAAATAGATTAAAAAAAATATTTGTCAGTTTTGATCATTGCTGGATAAAAGTATTAATTTCTTTCAATAAATAAATCAATACATAAAAATCTTACTGACCCCAAGCTTTTGAACTCCCTTGAAAAATAAATAAATAAATAAAACATACTAATATATAAATAAATAAGAGTGTCTGGATCTGGAGTTTATTTAAATTTTACTCTGATTTTGTATTTTATCACAAATTGTTTTGTCACATATAACAGCTTTTGCAGAGAAACTATTATTAATCGACAGGGAAGCACAAAGTATACTTGAGCTAAAACCAAACCCACAAACCTGTAAATGCTGTTATTCATTTCAAATGCAAAGAGGATGTTTACATAAAATTCTTAAAAGCACAGTAGTAAAATTATTATATTATATTATATTATAGGACAAAGGGGATATAACTACACTAATAGTCAAATGCGGCCATGATGATTGTGATTTATATGTAAACTGAATGTAAAGAGCTGAAGGGTAACTAGAAGCCGAAAGCAAAAGACAAACAGTACCAAAACATAAGCACATCTCACTGCAAACCAGAGAGAGTATTAAAGAGCCACAAAAATCAATTATTCATAATACGCCTGGAGGCATAACTGGACCTCGTCTAATAATGAGTGACTTTTGAGCACTGGGTTATAAAATACCCATGTAAGCGCTGGGATCTGTGAATGTTCAGACATGCTCACAGATCAACATGCAGTATGAGAAGTATTATGAGGCGAGAGTATCTCTTTCATTCTCACACTCTTCCTCACCTTCAACTATATATGCCTGGGTCCCATTATCCCCTTCCTGGACAACACTCACACCCTGTTTGAGTGTCATGGGATAGGCAGAATCCACCAAACACCGCATCTGATCCCTGTCTAGATATTTCATACACTCATTTTCTGCCAGAGCCGATTCTATCAGCCGCTGTGACCTGAAATAAATAAAGACAGATAAAGACTTACACTGGGGAAATGTAGCAGTATAGGCAATAAGGGAATGAGTTGAGATTTTAGGCAAGTTCTTACTCTTGACTCTTGCTGTGGCTGACTGGTGGGTTTTGTAAGACTAGTTTCGGCTCCAAGGTAACTGGTTCTGTTAGCAGAGCTTTTCTCCTCACTCTCAGGGAAGAAACACGTTGTTGAACTAAATGCAAATGAAATGAGTGTAAAGATGAATAATACAATGTTTTTATAAGATTAAAAAAGCCTGGGTTGTTACCTCTGAACTCTGCGTAGATTGCTGATGCATAATGCATATAAAATTAAAGTCAGATTTGCTTTGTCATAGATTATTATGATTGCACTAATGTGTTTCTGAACATTTGGAATTGTATTTAATTTAAAACTCAATTAACATAAATTTCAAATAAGATTTGATTGCCATTACATCGATATGTTTCAAAAAAGTCGACGATAGTGTGGAGGGGCCAACAGAAACAACAAAGTTGAGATGACAGAGTTAACAAAGTTCGACTATAGGCAAATGCAAAGTGATGCAGCAACCACCAATGCAAAAAATGGCAACTGAGGCCCTGTTTACACTTGGAAATAAGATTTAGTTGGTGTTTCTGTCAATCTGAACACAAGTGGACGACAGTAAATACAGGTGTAAAATGTTTTGAGCTTGTCCACTTTTGACTCTTTCGGAGATAGTTGAAAATGCATTCAACCGGATTGCTTTCATTCTCAAATGCATTCAAACAACCACAAAAGGTTGCCTACTGACCTGATACGTAATCACTGTGTGATGTGTTGTGAGAAACCACACCAAAACAAGCTATTCATACTTTTCTACCTTGTATCAAAACACACACTAATTTGTTCGTAATCTGTGTAACATGGGTTCATTTAGTGAATATTACTCATAAAATGCACCATCCATCTTGGAAGAGTCATTTACACTGACAGTCATTGTCAGTGATCACTTATTTTCAGAAAGAGCTGACAATATCCAATGACAAGCAACAGAGACTTGGTGTTGCAACAAAGTTGTACAGATATGACTACTATACAGACGAGCAGCAAATTGACAGTTTTTGGGATAGTTGCCTCAAAAATGAAAATTCACCCTCATATTGTTTTTAAAACAGTATGCATTTCTTTACTTGGTGGAACATAAAATAACATATTTTGAAGAATGTTGGGAACCAAAAATAAAAAAATTGGAGCCCATGAACTATAACTGTATGGAAAAACACATTTTTCAAAATATCATTACACAGAAGAAAGTTATGCACTTTTGAATGTCGTAAGAGAGAAGTGAGACTCACACAAGAATGAATCACAAGAGTGGCAGGTAAGTTATGAGGTCAAAATGGAAATAGAAATATATATCCAAGGATGAATCGTTCACAGTGACATGCATTGAGAAAATAAATAAGATCAAATTTGATTTCATGCTGACGCAATTGTGCGCTTCACCTGGAGTCGGAAATACTGTAATTAGGTTTCATTTTCTTTTAACTTGTCCTTGTTACACTATGATTATGCAATTAAGCATGCACATTTATGTACATATAGGGTTAGTGGCATGCATAAAAAAATTATACTAAATTTTTTTTTAAGGTAAGTGGTTGCAATCAATTTATTTTAGCTACATTTAAATAAATTTAGTTGAAAGTTAATCAACTAAATTTGTTTATTTAAATGTAGCATAAGTAAATGAGCATAGAGTAAATGCACATTTAAAATCACATTATTAACGGGGGAAAACGTATATTTTACTACTCAAAAATTGTATTTCTGGCAAATAAAATAAAGCGCTTTCCGTACCAGCTGCTGAGGCGCCAGGAGCCGAGAGCCGCAGACGGTCGAGCTCCCCCTGCAGGCGGCGGATCAGATCGTCTTTAGCGTCCAGCTCCAGCTCCAGCTCGTCGATAAGAGCATCTCTCTGCCGTAACTCCTCAATCTTCAGCTGAAGTGCGAACTGAAGATCTCTGAGAGTCCCCATCAGCCCTGCATAAGGGGACACAGAGAGGGACTGATGGACCATTACACAATTGTAAAGTGTGCGCCCGCGTTTAACGAAGTGAGATAACCAAACAGATTCAATGGAAAGATATTAAAGGCAGACAAAACTGAAGTTGCTCTGCACTTATTTAGAGAGTCTCCAAAGCTCATCGACTGTAATATTAACAGTGCAACCAGCGCTGCATTATAATCCAAATAGATTAAGCCACAACAAAACCAATTTCGTTAATTTGTTTAAACATCGCATTGCAAATAAGGGACATCTGAGAAGACATTTACCTGGATAATATGGGCAAGGAACATGTGGAATACAAACAGACCGAAAGCGATTTCCCCTCTAGAATGATGGAGCTGGTCAGCTTTAGGAATACTGAAGAAAACCAGAGTGTGAATGTTTGAATCATGTCTCCACCGCACGCGCACTGATCTGAGAGAGAGAGAGAGAGAGAGAGGGATGTGGGCGGGGCTAGATTACATTTACAGAGAATTAAACACAACTAGGACCATATTGTTCTATGAGTTGCAATGCAACAAAATAAACCGTTTTCATTGCATTCAAGCTCCGTTGCACTAAAGATGATTTATCAATGACTATGCCGACGACATGTCATATACAGTGGTGTGAAAAAGTGTTGGCCCCCTTCATGATTTCTTATTTTTTTGCATGTTTGTCACACTTTAATGTTTCAGTCTTGGAACTCTGCCATGCAGACCATTTTTGCCCAGTCTCTTTCTCCAGAGACTGGGAAACTAACAAGGGCTCTGTAAAGTAGCTATCACTGCTGGCGATAAGCGCATACAATACTCGGCAGTTTGATAGGAGTCAGATTGAGTGATATATAGTGAATGTGTGATTGGATACAGCTGTGTGCAATCAGTGCTGTGTGCAATCAGTACAATGGATGATGGGATATGTAGTCCGGGATGATATGCAACAGTTTGTGTAGTGTGAGAGTCAATGTAATGGAAAGGGTGACCTCTGATGGCAAGCAGATGGAAGTTCATGGACCGGATTCGTGACACATACATAAAGACATACACACATATATATATATATATATATATATGAATGGGGACAGGATGTTGAGAGGTAAAACATTGTTTATAGCTTTTGTACTATTATTGTGAATTTATTGTAATCATTGTCAAAACAACAAATAGAGTATCCAAAAAAATAATAAAAAAAATTAAAATAAAATGGAACGCAGGGAAAGTCAGGCATTTTATGTTGGGCAGGTCATCTCATGGAGGCAGCCATGTAAAGAAATGGAAACTTGCATGATGCTTCACCCACCTGATTTCAGCACTACACTACACAAACTACAACAATACAATCTGCATAAAGTGGAGTTATTGCTAGAGCAGTTTACTGCATGAGATGAAACGTGAAGTGTGATGTTAAAAGTCGCTTCTTAATACTACAAGTCACCATCAACCATCAGAGTGCCATATTCACCCAGCAACAGAAAAAGAAAATGCATGATTTGTTAAAAATATGTTTGAGGGCAGGGTTTAGCTCATCTGTTGTCCCGTATGTTGCCCTCTTCCGTCTTGCAGCGTTTTGTGTTCAGGCTACAGGAGGCCAGACGTGAACTCGACGGACGAACAGAGTACCAGAGATCAGGGACATCACGGTGAAAACCATGCTCAAACTCGCTGTAGTCGCTCTTGTGCTTCTCAGCGCCAGCTGTTTTGCCAAACAATGTAAGTATAAAGCATCTGTTTTCTGACGCGTTCTTATCTACTCTTCTTATTATGTTTATTAATTTTATTTGTATTAATATCTTATATGTCCATTCTTTATACGCGGTCTTTATCAAATACGTTTGAATCCCTAAGTAGTTAAAATTTTTTTTATGTTTTTCAACCTTAATAGTGTATGACGCACTTTCATCTGCTTTGGAGAACACAAAGATAAAACCCTTTAAATAGTTAAAAGCATACCTAGTTGCCAAAACGCTGAAAAAGAAAGAAAGGAAGTATTTTTGTAACTTTAAAAAGCTTGTGAAAATCTGTCCAGAGAATTAAACATGTCTAAGACACGTTTGTTTGTCTGAAATCCCCTGAACATTTTACTTTCACTTTCACTTTCACTTATATGCATAGCTACCGGTGATAGAAAAACTCGTTTTACTGGATATTAATGGTTGGTGGTTATAAAGTTACATTGATATGACACATGATATCATGATATTTAATCAGGTTTTTGTTTCTTTAAAAAAAGATGCTTGTGTTAAAATGAGTTATAATAACTGCACAAATAAACAGCTATTCCTAAATAGATAAACATACTGCACATGGGTCAAAGTCGAGACGTCCCATTTTGGTGCCTGCATCAAATTAAATTGATAAAAGTGATTTAATATACAAGCATAATGAATGCAAGTAAAGTGTCTACTTTAATGTTTCTAATAACTTATGAATGCAAATAAAATGTCACAATATGGGTGAAATAACATTCCATCGTCATTCAGTGTAACAGATATATTTATGTAAAAACGAAAATGTGTACTATAAAAAATGCTGGGTTGTTTCAACCCAACTTTGGGTCAAACATGGACTAACCCGACCGTTGGGTTACATTTTTACATTCAATTTTTAACCCAAAAGTTGGGTTAGTCCATATTTGACCCAAAATTGGCTATGAAACAACCCAGCATTTTTTAGAGTGTACTTATTCTGACCTGTACTTATTAAAAAATATATATATAAAAACGCGATTATACTAAATTGTATTATATTTTAAATGAATAATAACTTATTGTTGACAAAAAGTAGTTTGAAGACTGGCAAAGACTTCAAATGACAATGAATTCGTTTTTGTGGGTTGCACTGTGATCCTTTAATAGCGTCTTTTAATGTCATCTAAGGATTCTTATACTTAATATGCCTGGCAGGATTTTCATTATATGAACTATTGTACTATTAGTGGGTGTCTTCTGTAAATTATGGTAAAACTGTATGATAGTCATGAATTACATTAATAAGTTAATTACATTAAACAGGAGTCAGGACATATTCTAAAATCTCTTTTTGTCTCTGATCCGCATGCTTGGATGAATGAATGAATAAATAAGATAGCCTAAATAAAACATAAGGACAGACAATAAACATTTCCAGACATAATACATGCAATACAGTATATAAGAATGAACAGTTTTCAGATGCCAAAATATCAATGTTTCCTTTTGTATTGTTTCTAGCTGACCCCAAAGTGCAGGTGTACAGCCGCAACCCTGGAGATTATGGGAAGAAAAACGTGCTGATCTGCTACGTCAGTGGCTTTCACCCCCCTGACATCACCATTGAGCTCCTGAAGAACGGGCAGGAGATCCCGCACAGCCACCAGACCGACCTGGCCTTCGAGCAGGGCTGGCAGTTCCACCTGACCAAGCATGCTGATTTCACCCCCCAGGCTGGAGAGGAGTACAGCTGCAGAGTCCGACACATGAGCAACACAAAGACCTACACATGGGGTGAGAACAGATCTGAGGTCTTTATCTTATGAGCCCCATTGTTGGTGATTTTCAGTGTCGATGAATTCCAGAAAGTGGTAGATAAAGGTCAGATGTTGGTTCATTTAGGAGCTGTTTGAGTATTTCTCACTTTCATAGACATCTGTGTATTGGATTGTGGAGTCTCTCTCATGTTAATTATAGTTTTGGGAGTCATTAAGTAGTCACATAACACATTATCATACAAAAGTGAACAAAATGTCCTTAAAACCAAATATTTGAAAGGAATAATATTACTATGAACCACACCGATCCAACAATATAAATTTAATTTAATATGGCCACTTTTTATTTTATATATTTTAATAAGCACAGGTCAGAATAACTGTTGTTTCATTTTTACATAAATATATCTGTTTTGCTGAATGATGATGGATAATTTTACTCATATTTTGGCCTTTTATTTTTCACAAAAGTTATTAGAAACATTAAAGTAGACACTTATTTAAATGCTTTATATGTATATAAAATCAATTTTGTAAATGTAATTTGATGAGAACCCCAAACTGGGACTTATATGATGATACAAATTAAATTGGCTACTTTTTAAAATGAAATTAACAAGGATCTATAAATGAAACTAATGTTTGTTTTCTCTCTTGTAGAACCTGACATGTGAACGTCCAACAGTAAGTTCTGATAATATTGTTTTTTTAAAGGCTTTAACGTGTATTAATAGTAATTGTAATTTACCAAACTTTATGTAATCTAGCACAGTGGTTCCCAACCCTGGTCCTGGAGGCACCCCAACACTGCACATTTTGTATGTCTCCTTAATCAAACACACCTGATTCAGGTCATCAGCTCATTAGTAGAGACTCCAAGACAGGACTGTCCAAACTCGGTCCTGGAGGGCCGGTGTCCTGCAGAGTTTAGCTCCAACTTGCCTCAACACACCTGCTGGTAAGTTTCTAGTATGCCTATAAGAGCTTGATTAGCTGGTTCAGGTGTGTTTAATTAGGGTTGGAGCTAAACTCTGCAGGACACCGGCCCTCCAGGACCCAGTTTGGACAGCCCTGCTCCAAGACCTGAAACTGGTGCGTCAGAGAAAGGAGACATGCAAAATGTGTAGTGTTGGGGTGCCTCCAGGACCAGGGTTGGGAACCACTGCTTTAGCATACCTTTCAAATTATGTTGGTTCATGTATTCAGTTGTTTTTAGCATAATCTTTTATTAGTCACTGTGTGTTAAATGTATTTCGTTCTTCACAGATTCCTGGAAATAGCAGTTCATTCTCTTCAGCTTCTCTCCGAAACGCCAATCCTGCTTTGATTTCATTTTATAAATCAGGGGTGTCCAGGCCTGCAGAGCTGCTCCCACACACCTGCCTGGAAGTCTATAGTAACTCTGAAGACCTTTATTAGCGGGTTCAGGTGTGTTTAATTGGAGCTAAACTCTGCAGGATAGTTACAGCAGTAGATCCACCCCTGCTATCATATCTCAGCTTCTCTGTTTAGGACAGGGGTGTCTGATCCTGCTCTAGGAGCTCCAGCACTAATCAAACACTCCTGAACCAGGATCGGACACCCCTGCTTTAGGATATGCTGCCTGTATTGCAGACTGCAATATGTTTACTTTTACACAATGAAGACAAATGTCTAACTTTATGTATACTTGCATTGTTTTGGGTGTGTATCTTGACATAATTAGTAGGGCGACTGATGAAGAACAGTCACTATGCCTGCAGTGTACACTAGTCAACATTTGAATTGGATCAAAACCTTTCATCAAAGTTGTCCTAAAACCAAAAAACAAAATGCGTTCTTGTCTTAGGATGAACTTTTTTTGATCCACTTCAAATGTTGACTACTGTATATCAGCAATTTTCTAAAACCTTGGGTCTTTATAACATTAGCACTTAAACATCTTAATGTCTTTTGTTTTGAAATGTATTTAGAATTAATTTGAAGATTCAGGAGAGATGACTTCTTTTTTTTTTTTTTTGACAATTGAATTGGTATAATTCTTGCATACACATGTTTTTAGTGTTTTGGAAAGATTTATTGTCTCCGTAAATAAATCAAGAGTTTCTTTCTTTGTAAAAATCAGTGACAAAAGATTACAAATTTGAAATGCAAGCCAAATTCTGTTCATGATGTATGAACATTGCTGACTGTAGAATTCATAATGCCTTGTAATTCAGTTCAATAAAATATTTTCCCTTCTTAATTACGCGTCTTTATTCAACACAACTTTAAAAATGAATTGTGAACCTCATATTTGGGGTCTTGATCGGGGTCTCAAATTCAATTCTAATCCAGAATCTTGAGTGTTATGGTCTCAGACATACTGCTGTCTGTTTCAAGTGTGGCCTATTTGGTATTGGTTTCTTTTTCATGACCCCATTTTGGAGGTCTCCTGTCGTCTTCTGTGTCCCACCTCAGACAAGAGTCTTTCTATGTCTTCTCATTTTCTGTATTTTGCGAGAGTTTACCATATTACATTTGAGTGACAATGCAAAATGTTAGTATTCTTTATGAAAACATGTATATTGTGTATATAAAATAATGATGTGATTTGATTCAAGCACAGTCTGCTCACTGGTCAGCGTGAGGCGCAACACTCCCCGCGCATGCGCAGATCAGTGTAGTCCAAGTCATGTCCGTGGGGAACGGCTGGTAGCTCACGCTAGTGTTCAGCGAGACCATTATCTGTTCTTTATTTTGTATTTAATTGTGTAAATGTGACGATGATTCTTACAGTAAAGCCGCTTCAAGGGAAAGAGTGTAATGTCCAGGTAAGCCTGAGTGTCGTTGAGGTGTTTTGAGGCGCTAATGTGGCTGTTAGCTGCTTTAGCTTAGCTTAGCTTAGCGCTGTGCTGCGGCTTTCTTGTATGTTATGTTTATTTTGTCCTGGCCAATAATTTATAGATAATGATACGACCTGCGGTTTCTGCTGTAGCTCATTAGAAATGATTTACACTCTCCAGACAGTTATTTTGTCCACGATATAATAGCTGTGTCACCAAACCAGTGGAGCTGCTTAACTTGCCTAACGTTAGATGGCAAGTTACTGCCATTGAGTCATTTGAATGTTACAGATAGTTACAGATAGTTACAGATAGTTAAGGGATCTAGTAACTTAGATCAGGCAAACGTGAGACAACTGGTAATGGATTAGATGCTCTGTATGAGAACCTTTTTTTTATCGTGGTTCTGTATTTTATTAATTCATATATCTATATGCACGACACAAATCTAAAACCATAGAAAAAAAATTGGTACTTGAAATAAAATAAACATTAACTGCAATTAAAAAAAACAAACAAACACTACTGGTCAAAAGTTTGGAATAATCATGATTTTTTTTTTTAATCAAGTATAGAATATTATTACATATTAATGTAATGTAATATAATAATAGTACAAAGATGTATAATAATACAGTACTTAATTACAATATATATCATTGTAATACGGTATTATAATAATATTGCAATTTTAAAAATCCGTTTTAATTTTAATATTGTTTTATGTATAGTTAGACTGACACACAGAAAGCACTGTGTATATCATTTCATTATTTTAATACACAGATAACGTGACATGTGGCCAAGTATGGTGACCCATACTCGGAGTTAGTGCTCTGCATTTACCCATCCAAAGTGCACACACTTCCCAACCATCCGGGGGTGTGTGTGTGTGTGTTCACTGCTGTGTGTGTGTGCACTTATCCTAAGCCAACCATCCTAATGTGCACACACATATCCCATCCTAAGTGCACACACACACAGCAGTGAACACACACCCGGGGAGCAGTTGGGGGTTCGGTGCCTTGCTCAAGGGCACCTCGGTCGTGGTATTGAAGGTGGAAGAGAGCGCTGTACATTCACTCCCCCCACCTACAATCCCTGCCGGTACGAGACTCGAACCCACAACCTTTGGGTTACGAGTCCGACTCTCTAACCATTAGGCCACGACTTCCCCTAGCTAGATAGATATTTATGCAGTGCTTTTGTCAGCAGTTGTGTTCTTTTCATGCACAGGTGACAGAAAATGAAAAGGTATCAACAGTGAAAGAGTTGGTATCAGAGCGTTTAAACATCCCTCCCAGTCAGCAGAGACTGCTGTATAAAGGAAAAGCACTTGCAGGTAAAAGCATTTTTTAGAGCATTATCATTTAGAGTAGCACTATTTTTATCTCCTCCTGCAGTGTTTCTCTGAGACTTTGACTGGCAGCGTTCCAGTCATCGCATGAGGTGTGTTGTGTTCGTCGTTGTGAGGCTTGATTTGCTGTTTTCAGATGAACACCGGTTGAGTGATTACTGCATCGGCCCGGAGGCCAAGCTGAATCTGGTGGTGCGTCCGGCGGGCGAGAGGAGCGGTGCGGTGGGAAACAGCAGCGGTAGTCCTGATAAAGCAGGCAGTGGTGTGTGGCAGTTATTGTCAACTGTCCTGGCCAAACATTTCAGCCCAGCCGATGCAGCCAAAGTGCAGGAGCAGCTTATTAAGGTACTCAGAGACATGAGACAGTATTGTGGCTGTTTGAAATTATTTTTGTTCATGAAATAGAGCAAAAACAGGCAATATGGTGTCTAAAATATTGACTTCTCGTTTATTGAACTGTTGTATAAAATCAATATCACAAGAAAAAAACCAGCAATCTTCATGTGATATTGATTAACTATATGAAATGGTATAAATACACATTTTCTGTCCCCATATCTTGAATGTGTGATCATTCTAAACGCATTTTAATAGACTGAATCATGCAGTGAAAGAACGCACTGTAAATGCGCACTCGCACTACTTCATCAAGTAATGTATGCGTGCACTGTGTGTTTTGTTTGGTTTTGGCGATAATCTCAAATCACACATCGTTAAAACAACAATTACACTGTTATCGCAGACGATTTATATCGCACACCTAGTCCCGGACAAGCATTATTCGAGCCCTGTGGTTCCCCCACGGTTTACTTTGGCCCTACATGTATTACAGATTGCGAACTTTGTCGTCTTCACTCACATGCCGGCGACATGCTTACATGCAGATGTGAGCGTATCTGAGACATCAAAACAGACCGGCTCGGAAAACCGGAAAATCGGCTAATTCCGGTTCCTGGCCGGTCGATCGGCACATCTCTACATTTAACGAAAAGGTTTTTTAATAGCTTTTGTGAACAATAACAACACTGCTTACGACTTCATCAGTCTTGTAGAAGGCAGAATCAAGTGACAATATAACATTTGTTAGATGCGTTAGAAATGAACACTGTAAAAGTATTATAAAATCATTGGTCATGATTAGAATAGTGGAACATCTTTGTATGTCATAAGTAATAGGTAATAGGAACCAAGGTTAACGTCATCTTTTCTTGTTGTCAGGATTATGAGCGCTCGCTCAGACAGCTGAGTCTGGATGACATTGAGCGTCTGGCCAGCCGTCTGCTGCATCCAGAGACAGAAGGCATGGATACCTCATACATGGACTAAAACACACTAGACTGATGGAAACAGTGGACGAGCCACGGTCAGGGAGTGAGATGTTTCATGTGGACTTGAAGGGGCTTCTCTGATCTACAAGAGGAAACCAGTGGTGCTTTTAGTGCAACTTTGTAAATATTGTGTGCAAATTATTGAGAGACAATAAAAAGTGTTCTTGATAAGCTTGATCTTTTTTTTTTTTTTTTTTAAATGTGGATTTAACAGCCGGGCTTGGTTGTAAATGCATCTTTATTTTATTTTTTTTTGGTTTTGGTGCCATTCTTACATTTGGCCAAAATAAAAATTATGCCTACATTTTTTTTTCCTTTTTGGCATATAAAAGTGAGGAGCTTTTGGGTTGATTATGGATATATATATATTAATGAATACAAGCATAGCATATAAATGTCCAAAGGCAAATCAAAACACTGAGTTAAGCATGACCTAACACCATTAGTGTGCTTCTAACCTGATTAATTAATACATGACCTCTTCATGAAACACACCGACATACTCAACAGCTATAAAAACGTACATGTTTTGTAAACCATTATAACTGGTGTGAGTGAAATATGTTACAGAGACAACTAAGTGGCTTAAAACATTTTCAGAAGTACTTACAGTCCAACTAAGACTAAAATGATTTCAGCTTTAATGTTGAACCTAGAAAATCTAAGTACCCTTATGTTCAAGGTAATGCACTGTTACCACATCCATATTCCATTTTTTTTTCAATTCATGACGTGTTACATAGTAGGGCTGGGAGATGAGTGAAGAAATCACGTATTATTGTTAGTTTTATCTTTTGACAACAGTCATTTGCCCTGATGTATTTATTTAGAGGAACTATCATTTCAAACAAACAGCAATTTTTTCCTGAAGTAAAAAATACAGTAAAAATCAATTTTTAAAAAAATCTAGGCATATTTTCCACACCTTTTTCCTGCATGAACACAGGTAAAAATCATATTTAATCATTTTTATGCGCACACTAATAAAAAAAACAATAATTACCTACTTTTTAAATTTTAAAACATTTGAAATGATGTGAAACGGGGACTTCCATAGTCATTTTTGAGTGATAAATCTAATTAATTTAACTGATCTGAAGAACTCCAAACTCATTTTTTTTTTCATTTAACAAATGGTTGATTTTAAATGGCAGATAAAACATTTTATTCATATTATTATATTTCCCAGCCCTATTACATATGTAATGTCTTTTTTTTTAATGAATATTCATTCAGCATAGGAGTGAAACATTGATATCAATAACCAATAGTAAGAATTAAAAAGGCACAACGAACTAGCAGACCAAAGAATCATTTCTGAGAAAAGAAAATCAAATTGCTCAGACAGCAGAAATTCTCGGGACAGCTGTAGTGATAGCAGGACTCGTAATAAATGCAATGTCAGAGGATACGCAACACATTGGTCTTCCTGTTCCTCGATAGTTTATCATACCACACGTTTACTTGGAGTTCAGCAAGAAAATGGATGTTCAGCTTTCACACGTGGCATTTGATACCCTGGAGGTTTCCAAGGAAGAAAAGGGGAGGATGGATGCTAGAATAACAGGCCTGGATCTTTTCCATCTCGCTTTCTCCCTTTCCCATGTTGGCTCTTTCTCTTCCAGTCCCCAGTTTGGTCTTTCCTTCAGCAGCTGCAGCCATCACTGCTAGACACAGGTCTGTCGTCTCTTAGATTAATCTGGTCAGGGAAGTCATACGTCTCCACCGACTCCTGAAAGTTCAATTCATTTAGTGTGAATTTAATGACAAAACCCAGCCAGTTAAATACATTCCTAAAAATGAAGGTTCTTTATTGGCATTGATGGTTCCTTCTTGGCTCTTTCTCTTCCAGTCCCCAGTTTGGTCTTTCCTTCAGCAGCTGCAGCCATCACTGCTAGACACAGGTCTGTCGTCTCTTAGATTAATCTGGTCAGGGAAGTCATACGTCTCCACCGACTCCTGAAAGTTCAATTCATTTCAGATTTAGTGTTTATTTAATGACAAAACCCAGCCAGTTAAATACATTCCTAAAAATGAAGGTTCTTTATTGGCATTGATGGTTCCTTCCATGAAGAAACTTTACCATTCATGCAACCTTTCCATTGAACAAAAGTTTTTTTTTTATAGTGGAAAAAGGTTCTTCAGATTACAAAGTTTTTCAGACGAAGAAAAAAATGGTTAACTTAAAGGTTCTAAACTGGCTCTTCAGTGGCATCACTTCAAAAAAAACTTTTTGGAACCTTTATTTATTTAAAAAAAAGTTTTGAATGTTTTCATTCCACAAAAGGTTCTTAACAGTGGACAAGTGTATCTAGATTTTCAAAATGTTCTTCAAACTGAGAAAAAAAACAAGTTATTTAAAAAAAATTGTTTAGAAAGGTTCTTTGGGGAACCAGAAATTGTTCTTCTATGGCATTGTTTACTCACCCTGAAGGTTCTTTATTGGCATTGATGGTTCCTTCTCATTCATGCAACCTTTCCATTGAACAAAAGTTTTTTTTTTATAGTGGAAAAAGGTTCTTCAGATTACAAAGTTTTTCAGACGAAGAAAAAAATGGTTAACTTAAAGGTTCTAAACTGGCTCTTCAGTGGCATCACTTCAAAAAAAACTTTTTGGAACCTTTATTTATTTAAAAAAAAGTTTTGAATGTTTTCATTCCACAAAAGGTTCTTAACAGTGGACAAGTGTATCTAGATTTTCAAAATGTTTTTCAAACTGAGAAAAAAAAACAAGTTATTTAAAAAAAATTGTTTAGAAAGGTTCTTTGGGGAACCAGAAATTGTTCTTCTATGGCACTGTTTACTCACCCATGCCATTCAAAAACTGACTTTCTTTTTTACATAAAACAAAAAAGAAGAAATTTTGCCGAATGTTCATGTTAAATTTGTCCATACAATGAAAGCAGTGGCTCAAATGATCCAAGAAAGGACAAGTCCCATAAAAATAATTCATATGACTTATTTTCATATTATTATCATAAAGTATCAATACTTCACTATGTTCAATTTTTTTGAAGTCATAAAATGGCTTTGCATGATAAAAATACCAATATTTAAGTCCAAGGATCGCGGAACGAACCAAAAGGAGGGGGGGCCCGCCCTCCACAGTAGTAATATTACCTATAAAATAATAAATATATTACCTACTAATGGTGTTAGTTAGTTGCCACATATAGTAGCCTATGCATTTTTAAGCTACGCTTCTCCCACGATTCTGAAAACAAAACAGACAACCAAACGAAATATGTAATTTAATTGAGTTTCTGACTAAATGTTTTATTAATGTTATAGTAAATGAGTCTATTAAAAATATTTATTAATTTAAACGAGTTCTAATAAAAATCATTTTAAATAAATGAAGACTTGTTTCGTTTTGAATGAATGATTTAGACATCAAATACATTTAACGCTCACGGTTCGCCAGTCGCCACCTACTGGAATAATGTAACATATACAATCATTACTTTCAAAGACCCATTTTGATCGCGGCTCCCGCAACATCAGAGTCTACATCCGGACTTTAAACTTTTAGCAATACTTTCGTTATTATTTAATGCTTGTGTGGGATTACAAATTTACGAATCTGTTTAAAATATGCTGATCCTATGTTCTGACATAGCATCACATGAAAAACTAAGGTGAAGTACATTGTATTTAGCATTTAAGGTAAATTACATCAGACAAATTATTATCTTAAGCAAAGTGTAGCAAGAGGTTCCTGTTCTCTTATTGTTAGTCAAATGAACCAGATTACTGAGACTATCACCTTTTGTTTGTAATGGCTCTTGGTGCCTCTGCCCCAGTCTTTGAGTAGTTATACTGATTGAATTAGCACCTATGCATTTGAATGACACTGTTATGCTGATGAGATCAAGGCTGGGGAAATGCCAGTGTCGGGCTGATTGCCTGTACTTCATTTGCATGCTATGGATTAGATTGTCTCCACCTCTACTGAATGTATCCCTCCCCCTTTAAATATGTATATAAACTACAATGTATCACTGCCTTGGTTAGACTTGGATGACTGCAGCGACGCACAGCGAGTCCTCA